ATTGATCCCAGGGGGGAAATTCCTGTACATTCAGTAGCAAGTACGTAGAGCATGGATGAACATACATATAGTGGAAAAAAAAGTTTTGGCAATGCCTCTGAGTGTGACAGCCACCAGAGAGGGATCCCGCCTGCTATCAGACAGGAGCGAGTTCCCTAATCTATTCCCCAGGCTGGACTTCTCCTGCTCCACGGTGTTTTTGAAGAGCTGCCTGTTAGCTCAGCGACGTCCCGTCTCTAAGCGGTGCCTTCTAAGCACAAAGGGCCTTTAACCGGCCCCTGCTCACTTTATCATGCCCCTGTCGGATCGGTGTGCCTTCAGGGGCTGGTGTGACTAACAAATTAGTTTGATCTTTTGGGGAACTGAAATGACTGTTTTGAGTTTAGCTTGTCAAGTGTTCCTGTCCGTGTATGCATGCGATGTGTCCGCGACCGCGTGCATGTGGGAGTTTTATTTAGTCAAAAATGTTCTGAGGAAATGGAGGTGTCCAGACATCTGATTGGTTGGTCCTGCCTCCTCTAGTTGCTTGGACCCACCTCCTCTACAATCTGATTGGTTCAGAGAGATAACCAATCATTTTTACGTCTGTCCTCAGAACATTTTTGTGTAAGTAAAACTCCCACAAGCTAACAGCACCTTTCATGGCAAGTATGGCACTAGTTGTGTTAAGGGTGTGTGTGCACATCTATAGTTCTTCCTCGCCTTTGACTGCATGTGCATGGTTGGATGGGTGGGGGTGGGGGTGGGGAGAGGGCAGTTTATCCAGACGCACCTTGATGACGCTCAGCCTAATCGGTCCGGTGGGGGATGATGGATGCAGATTGTGTTATGGACCCCAAATACCAAGGTTGTTACCATTAAGTCTGGCCAATGCCTGTGTTGTCAGGTTATGGCAGCATAAAGGCCAGCCAGTGCAGTTTGCAATCATTATTTTAATTAAACGAGCAGCTATCCTTCCACTCGCAGTGCTTATCCTGTTCTCAAAATGTTCATTTAAGCAATAACATACGAGGAGTGCAGTTATACTCCAATATATCACAACTGTGATTCGGTCGTAAGCACGAGGCCGCAGGCCTAGTTTGGTTCTAGTTTGGCGAAATCTGGTATTCTTCCTGTGAAATCTGGTATTCTTCCTGTGAAATCTGGTATTCTTCCTGTGAAATCCGGTATTCTTCCTGTGAAATCTGGAATCTCCTGTTTAACCCAACCTTGCGTTGCCCTGTATTATGTCAGCCTTTTTCAGACCACCTGGTTTATGTAGAAAATCTTGCCTTAATTGTGAATTTAATTAAAAAATTTGTCCTGCAAAAGAATTTGGATGAGGAATGTACACACAAACCAGAAGTAAGTGGCGGTTTGAAAGGGTGTCTTTTCTCCACCAGAATATGTGCTGGGTTCATTTTCTCAGAGTTTGGAGAACTTCTTAAAGCCAGTGATGTGTTGGGGGGGGGGGGGGATGTCACTGACTGTCCCGTCAGTATTTTTAGGAAGAGCTGTGTGTTAGAGTGAAGCCTGCCCCTGTCCTCTAGACGGCCAAAAACTTAGTTGCCGGACAGAACTCCTCCCATTGTGGAACACGTACAAAATGTTCGTATTTCCAAATAACTAGGTCAAAGTAACAAAAACTTTAGTGTTGCCAACAAGTGCCCAGCATGTTCTTCTGAAGGTCTTGCAACAAAACGGGGGAGACCGAGATGACTCAGTCTGCCCGGTAGTTAAAGCTTTGTCTCGCTCGTTAGGGATATCGTCGGCTTGTAAGCAAGGTGCACGCTTGCAGTCCCTAAGGCTCATTATCTCATCGTCATTTTGTTTTTAAAGTCGTCTACTTAGACATGAAAATATCCGGCTACAGTCTCTCCTACTTCTTTCCCTCCAGCCTTTGGCATTCAGGCCTTTTCGACTCGTTCCGATTTTTCAAGGTTTCCTTCGCCAAAAGCTAGATGCCGTATTTCCAATACCGTTGCCAATCCCAAGCACATAACAGGCCAAGGACAGTGTGGGTGAGGCCTTGACATTGAAATCGGCCTTGACATTAAGCTTTATTCGCCATTCGTTGAAGTACGAGAGCAGGTACGTCCCAATGTGTGTCTCTTTCCCCACCTATCCCATCTTGCTCACTCTTTAGATCACGTGTAAGGTGGTAACATGGTAAAATACCACGAGGCTCACAGGGCTAGCCTAGTCGAGATTTCCATTCCCCAGGAAGCAAAAGTGAAATTATTTTCATTCCACGCAAATCTAAAAACAGAAAAAGATTCATAGGCTTGTGTACTTGAGCCTCTGTTTAAGTTTTAAAATATTAAGTGAAATATTAAGCCGTTCTGAAGAGAGGAAACATCACAAATAGTGCCACGCAAAACACAAAGAAGAAAAACATTATGAATGAAAGGTCAAAATGTCCTGGCACAAGGTCCCTGCTATGGAGAAAGACAAAAAATTGTCACCACACATTGTCACCAAACTACAGCAACAACGTGCAGCTCAGCAGTGTAGCTCGGATTGGTGGGCCCCTCCTGGGGGGGGGGGGGCTGGTGTCCCAGGTGAACCCCCAGTGGGAAGGAAGGTTATTTCCCAGCCTCCCTCTCGCTGTCTGAGACTCTGAGTCTGTCACACACTGCAGCTGCCTCTGATTCTGAGGGGCAGGATTCCAGAAAGGCCCCATTTGTTGTGTTTTATTGTTGCTGTTTGAGCAATAAAAGCTGCATGGGAGGGAAAGAAACGTGAAACGAAACTTTCAAGTGGACCTAAAATAGTAATGCAAAAACAAAGCTGGAAAAGAAGAACCCATTTGTTTCTAATTGCCGGCTGATGTACAGCTGTCCAATTCATCAGTAGGGGGCACTATGCTCAGCTGATATTCCAGACTTGCCTTGTTCTGTTTTCTGGTGGTATGTTACCTCCCAACATTACTTAGGTGATAGGAGAGCTACACCTATTGAACACATCTGGTGATGTCGAGGTCACAGCATATCCTCAGCTCTGGAGGTTGTGCTGAGGGGGGGGGGGAGGCTGGCTGTCTCTCAGTGTTTTGGTCAGCAGGTCTCGTTGCCATAGTGACCGTCCACCATCTTCTAGAGTGCTAGGTGAGGACATCCGAGATCACAGAGAGCAGCGCTGTTCAAATACAAATTATGCGATTAAAAGTTAGGAGGGGCTGTTGAATAAGGTACTGACTTTGTTCCAGAATCCCCCCCCCCCACCCGCTGGTTCAAAGAGGCTTGTTTTTTTTTCCTGACACCGTGCTGTGGAATATTCCTCTTTTTTTGAAAATTTTAGTTCCTGCCTTGGCTTTAGAAAGGCCTCGAAATCAGTGTGTTTGCTTTATGTCTGTGGTTTTCAGGCTTTTCAGATTGTATTCTGTGTGTTTCTTTGAGGACGGCCGCGTTCCCTGTAGTTTAAGCGACTCCAGGTCTCCCTCCAGACTCCATTCTCCCACCCCCCCCACTCTGCCTTCCCCGGAGGCTCGTTAAGACCACTTTGTCGTTAGGACAAACTAACGGATGTAGTCAGGCCCTCTTGAATACCTTGGTGCGTGTGTGTTTTCGTAATTGTATTTGTAAGTGTGTGATCTGTCCAGCAGGGTGGGGCTCTGGGGCATCGTTGGCTCATCTCCTGCTGGAAACTCTCTCAGATCTTCCTGACAGCTTGCAGTCTTTTTCAAGAACTGGGCCTGAAATATGTTATGTGGACATTCTTTGCATAATTTTGTCTAACACAATTGGGAAAGTCTAGCCAAATGATTTTGTGCATTTATAGGGTACTTGCCTTGTAGGATTTGATTTTTGCAGCTTGACCTACGATTAAGCACAAAGTCTCTCAGGATTAATGAAACCACTTCTTGCCACAAAAAAGGCAGAATGCCTTAGCTATATAAAAGTGTGTGTGTGTGTGTGTGTGTGTGTGTGTGTGTGTGTGTGTGTGTGTGTGTGTGTGTGTGTGTGTGTGTGTGTGTGTGAGAGAGAAAGAGAACCTCCAGTAACATAGGATTAAAGCACAGTAAATGGAGGATTTTAAACAGGTTCTGTGGTATAAAAAGATTTCCGAGAAGTTGCAAAACTGGGAGTGAATTTGGAAACGACAAGAGAACATCGCTGGAACCCGTTGGCCAATAAATGTTTCCCTGCTTTGGTTCTCGCTGTGTATTTTTAAAAAAGCTCTGGGGAAGGCATGCCCCCCCCCTAAACTAAAGCAGAGGGTTAGCTGGCTGAAATTAGCTTCCCTGCTGGCACCTGCTTCGATCTGGCACAGTGCTGCTTCATTAGCAGCTGTTGCTTCTCTGCAGATTGCTGGGCCCAGCTGGTCACTTCCGTCGGTTAGAGTTTCTTCTGCTGGCTTTATGGTGTTGGCTGCGCTGAAACACATGGTCAGGAAATCGGGAGTCATCCAGGGAGAATGGCGGGGGC